TGCTGTACTTACCATACACCAAAATACCCTTTTTGATTACATATAGATAATGAAATTTTAAATTTTATGCAAATTAATTCTTCGTTACCCAATTACTCATTTTTTTATTAATGTTAAGTGAACATGGTTTGAAAACGATTTTTTCTAAAAATCACCCCATATATTAGAGTTGTATTGTAACACAGAAATAAAGTATTTTGCGCTTCATGAATATGTTGTATGTGAATTGCAAATTCACATAGAATTCATTTTCACGCATAACAAATACAAAGAGTTTTTAAAAGTAATAAATGATTTCAGGATTGCGCCCGTGGCAAAGCGGCCAAACTATAAAAAATGATAATGATGCTATTAATGGCATCTAAAAATTAATTTTTTTTTTTTTTTTTTAATAGAATGAATATTTTATCAAAAATAGAAAAATTTTTAAAAAAATCTATAAAATGAAATACATGAATTGATGAATTGATGAGTTGATGAAATGAATTAATAATTTAAACTAATTTACAATTATACATAATACAATATCATTGAAAATTTAACTAGATATGACCACTCCTTGACATCCATTTTTCCATTCTACCACCTTCATCAACAATGTATTCAGCTTCTTTCATTCTTTTCCATTTATTCCAAAATTTCGAAGCTCCTTTATCATTTTCACTCAATTTTCTTGTCAAAAATTTCACTACACCTTGGAATTTTTTATCATATCTATCAGGGAAATGATGGAACAGCCAATTTCTTTTTAGACAGATATCTGTAAATAAATTTGGCGTGGAAATCTCACATACAATATCTTTTGTATAAAATGCAATTGAAGATTTAACATGAGTTCTATGAAAGCCTTTATAAAGATAATAAATGGTTCCCGGAATATATAATTTTTGTTCAGAAGATTTTGCTTTCAAAGAAGTACGATATTTGTCAATTGAGGTGAGAATTTTGGATAATTTTTCACTAGAATTGAACTAATTGAAGTTAAATAAATTATAATATTAATTTATAATATTAACGGTAATAATATAGTATAATTTTATGATTAATAATCATATCATATTTTACCTTTTTATAGTTTTCATTTTTCAATTCACTCGCAGCAAACTTGACTAATTCTTTAAAATCCATAAGATTTCCATAACTTAATCGTGGAATTACATCATTTTCATTAATAAAATTATTAATGTAATTCATTGCTTCGGGTTTTTTTGCCAAATCTAGTGAACAACATGGAGCAGTAGCAAAATTCCATGCAAGAATTTCTATACCATTTTCAAGTAAACTTTTACATTCCTCATGCAATAAAAGGGTTACTATTGAAGATATTGAAGCACCTAATGAATGTCCTATAACTTGAATAGCACGCGAATTAAATTTTTTTACAGCTTTTTTTATACTCTTAAGTGAACGTTTGACAAGATATTGAGCACTACGAAGTACACCTCGGTGAACAAGTCCGCCATTCCATGATTCATAACGAGCCAGTACATCTGTTATTACATCTGTAACATTCTAAATGATTATTGTATTAATTATTATTAGAAGAGAGAGTTAAACAGTAACTTTAATGATCAGTAATTTTCATTAAATGCACCATTGTTCCACGTATTGTTATTATAAGATTATTTGTCTCTGGATCTCTTATTATCATATAGTTAGGAACAGAAACAGTATTTAGACCGTATTCCCAACAAATAATATCATCTTTATCAAGGCCGAAAAATTCTTGAATAGCTTTTCGATCTGAATTTATTCTAAAGGCATCTATAATATATATATATATATATATATATAAATAACAATTCATTATTCAAATTTTCACCTCAATTTTTAAAAAAATAAAAATAAAAAATAACGTACTTATTGGGGCCATATTATGACCATATCCAAACCAATTAAATAAGAATGAGCCCTTATAAAAAATTTAAATTTATTTTGATATTATATAATTTCAATTGTGTAGGATCAATATGTTTATTATTATAAGATTTACATACATAAGAGGCCATAGAATACTTTAAATATTTTTGAGCTAACTGGATTTTATCGATATCATGACAGATTTTACCTGTGACAGGGCTTTTATAATTAAAATTTTATAAAAAAAAGAAAAATTAAAAAATAAAGTCGAACTTATTTATAACAAACTATCGACATTCCCTTATTTATATGACGCACCTAGGTTTTTGAGTATAGTATTTTTCCAATAGCATATATGCTTTTAAGAACTCCAATTTGCTTAATCTCCAACCGTGATCAAAGAAGGTATTATATAAAACAGTTATTTCTTTAATTGCATCTCTAGTCTCTTTACTTAGTACCATATCAAGAATACCAAGAGACATTGACTCAGGATATACCACTACATTAGCAAATTCGGTATCATCTGCATTATCTATTTCAGAAGAAATCCCTTTTGTCATGGTGGCATCTCTATTTTGATTTGTTGTAGATCTCAAAGGTACAGTATTTGAACGTATGGGAGTTTTTCGAGTATCGGAAGTTGATGAAATGAGAGGGGGATCATTTGGATAATGAAATTTTATACTAATTTGAACAGTTGCAACTTGACGGCCATTAGATTCTAAAGGGATTTTACTATATTTGAATTTTTAAATTAATTGATTAATATATGTATAAACTTATGAAGCACACATATATAATATATAAAGTAACTCACACAATAAACTCATCTTTGTTAGGAATTAATGGCTTTAATCCAATGAATTTAAAAATACCACGGCCAATTTTTTTTTTGGCATTTAAAAATCCATGTTCATAAATATCTATTTTTAAATTATCAAACATTAAGGAATGACAATCAAAAGGAAAAAGAAATTTTTTTTGTGAATGATCTCCAATTGATTCACTTGGCTTTGTTTGGTATGTAACGCAATGAATCACAAGACGAATTGAAGTCTTTGTTTTTGTATTTGATGCAAACTGTTTGTTAAAATCTAATGATATAATTTGTACTAGAATTTTATCTAAAGAAAAATATATATCATTAGGATTTTTTTTTTTTTAAAAATAATTTAAATTATCATAAAAATAAATAGAAGTACCTGGTAAAACTTTACCGGAAACTTTTTTTTATGTTTATATACAAAATCAGTTAAATGAGTTATTTCAGGAGGTTTAAAAACCAAATATATATAATTATATTACTTATTGAATCAATATTATATCCTTCATTTTTTGCTATTTCGTTTTCAATGTCTATATTAGAGAAAAAATATATTTTTAATAAAATTAATTAATTATTGTTATCACAAGAATTAAGCAATAAATCACCATGATTAGACATAATACTGAGAGTAAGACTTCTTGGGCTTGTTTCAATATTTAATTTTTGTTTTTCATCTACTATAATGAAATAGATGAAACAATTAATAATCTGATTGACATATTATATATATTCATTTATAACCACTTACATTTCTGAGAACTGCCAGTTTTAGTACTTTCAAAAGATTTATCACCTAAATTAAATTTATTTTCATTTTCATTTTTTAGACTAAAACTATCAACAAATGAATTAATAACTTTTTTTTTTTGAAAATAAAGCCTTCTGCTATTATAACTATTGAAATTCTTGATTGAATTAGTATCATCTAATTTAATGCCTATATCAATTGTCTTGGATGAATTTGATGTATAAGGCTTCCAAGTTTTAGCATATTCTTTGTTATTGATGATCTCGTCTTTATTATCATTATTTTCATCGGCCGTAGATCGAGGTTCATTTTCATCCTCGTCCAAAGAATAGTCGGATGTAGCATCACTTAGAAAATTATCAGCTTCACATTCCTCTTCTGGAATTATAACATCGTTTAACCTGACAATTTCTCGTGGTAAATAAAGTTGATTAATCTGCTCTTGTGATTTGGCCAATTCAACAACATTTTTTTCTAACTCGTCTATCATTTCTTGCGTTTCAGTTGATAAATCCTCGAAATCAGAATTACCTATACTAATAGAATTTCCGTTATTATTATTATTATTATTATTATTACTATTATCGCTACTGTCACTACAAGCAATATTATTATCAAAAAATATCTCTGGTATTATATTTTCTGGTAAACTTTTTGATTTGGCATTTTTTTGATGATTCGAATTTATCTTTTTGTATTTCTCCATAATTAGTTAGTATTGAACAAAAGAGACTGCTGCAAGCTACCAAAAATTCCTTGACCTTTCGCCATTCAATTTGCATAATTTTTGCCTTCTTTGGAATCAATAAGATTATCTGAATATTGTAGATTTATTTGTATATTAGTATTAGTATTAAAATTGATCGACATGAATTCCGATGATGAATTTCGGTGTGTACCAATGCAGATTTCTACAAATTTAGAAACCTATCTGCGGAAAATTACTAATATATGATCCCCCACATTCCCCCACACTGAATTTTTTTATACACTCTGATTCATTATTAAAAAGAACATTATCAAGTAGAAAAAAGAGAGAAAAAAAAATGCCTTACGGTACACAAAACCAATACACCGAACCACCACCAGCTTATGCACAAGTACCTCATGTTGGAACTTCAGCAGCAGCTCGTGAACCTTTATTGGACAGAGAGGTAGGTGACGATGATGTACCAGACGATTTTAAATATGGAGTATCAGTTAGCGAATGTGATCTTAGTGTTCGAATGGGTTAGTATTAGTATTATGATAATAACATTAGATGATAATAAAGTAATAATAATAGTTAACTAATTTCATGAGTTTATTATTTTTTCCTCCTAATTTTTAGCATTCGTGCGTAAAGTTTATTCCATCTTGTTTGTGCAAATATTGTTTACAACGATTATGGCAGCTTTTACGATGTATAATGACAATTTCAAGACCTGGGTTCAGTCAAAGTATATAAGTATAATTTTCAACTATTATTATTATTTTAAAAATGATTACTAATATATTTATATATAGTGTTGTAGTTATGTATGTTGCTAGTTTTAGTACAATTCTTATTCTGTTTGGTTTGATATGGAAACGTCGTTCTTATCCAACAAATTTCATATTATTATCTACATTTACACTTGCTGAAGCCTACACTGTTGGAACTTTTGGTTAGTGTTGTTATTATTAGTAATTTTCACTATCAGTAATTATTAATAACATAATTTCTAACAATTGTATTGATTTCTTATAATAAAAATTTTTTTAGTTACTTTTTTTGAAACCGAATTGGTTTTGCAAGCATTTCTTATAACTGTTGGATTATTTTTGGGTCTTACATTGTTCACTTTTCAGTCAAAATATGATTTTAGTGGATTGTTGCCATTGTAAGTAATATATTTATGAATAATGAATTAATTAGTGAACAAATTTTATATTAATATTTTACATTTATGTATATATATATATGTATATACAGTTTATTTTATTCGTTACTTGTTGTTTTTATCATCAGCATTGTTTCATTATTCTTTCCATTCAATGGAATCTTTGATTTGATTATTGCGTCAGCAACAGCTATAATATTTTGTGGGTTTATTATTTATGATACTGATCAAATCACAAAAAGACTTAGCCCCGAAGAATATATTATTGCATCGGTTGATCTTTATCTTGATTTTATTAATCTTTTTATTTCCATTCTAAGAATCTTGAAAGATGTTAATAGTAATTAAATGATGAGTAATTAATTTATAGGAAATGATTTATGATTAATTTTCAGTTATTATTATTTTGTATATTGCTTTTTACAAATAAATAAATATATAAATAAATATTTTGCATCATTACTCTTAGTGCAAAAAGATGATTATCTATCAGAGTATCTTGTTAATTTACACTTGTTACATTCTTTTGGTTTGCCCATTTATAAATTACATTATCCTTTTCAAAATCATAAATAAACCTTTCTTTACAATATTGTTTTTCTTTTTCAAAAAGCTCGAAAAAAAAATAATCTTTTCTATCCTCTCTTTTAGAACTCAATAGAGTATTATTATTACATTTCCTTACAAAGTTTAATTACAAAGTTCTCACTCTTTCATTTCCTTTATTATCTAGTTGTGAAAGAATTGCTCCTAAAGCAAATGTCGATGCATCCGTAGATAAGATGAATGGTTG